AAGTGGGGCCCGCTCGTCCCCCAGGCGGGTCTGAAACGCACCGAGAGTCTTCGACACGCACAGCCCTAACAGGATTTCCCCCTCTCACCACATCCCTCTGTTCTGGCCGCTCAGCAAGACTCAGCCCTCTGGGCTTCCTCGCGCCGCTAATTTACACTATAGCCTGCAGGCTACCTTCACAACCAAGAACACTGCAATTGTATTTTCAGGCTCATTAGGCACTAGCACTAAAAAGGGGAGCCCTTACCCCCCATCTACTTTCCCGTCCAGGCTCTGTTCAGCGGGAAAAGAGGGGGGGGGGGGGGGGGGGGGCACAGAGGATATAAAGGTGGGATATAAAGAAATATAGAGCAAAGTGCTAAATTACTGTTGTGGAGTTGTTTGTGTTTACTACATCTGTTGGTTTGGGAGCCGGGGAGGAGGAAGAGGAGGAGGAGGAGGAGGAGGAGAGCCTGCACAGTCGCTCCTCTCAATCTTCTGAGAACCAATCCGTCTGCTCGGAAGCAGCCCTATTCAGGATCTACCCAGGCTCGTTTATTTGAAAGAGACCCCGCTTTTTAAACTTCCCACCCTCTCCATTGTTCGACTTGTCATGCGGAGGACTTTGAAATTGTAATCTCGGGATATTCAAACACACACATTTGTTCTGACCTTTGGTGAGTGCAATAACATTATTACTGTCAGACAGGCATTGCCAATTTGGGTCTGCACCAAAGCGTCATATGGCGAGTTAGATCACGAAAGAAGTGCTGAAACCAGGAGAAAACTTTCTCTTGTCCTTTGAAACTAAATTTAAAGGAGTTATGGTTTGAGCACATTTCAATTCGCCTGTGTTTTAAGAGTCAAAAATATGGAGGAAAATGCATGTAACCCCCAACAAATCAGAAGTGCTTATTTAAATATAACCAAATAACTTTGCTTACATTTGGTGCCATCCATCCATTTTCCTCCACCTATCCAGGGTCGGGTTGCGGTGGCAGCAGGTTGACCCAGACTTCCCTCTTACACGCAACATTTCCCAGGTCATTCTGGGGGATCCCGAGGAGTTCCCAGGTAAGCTGCGACACCTGGGTCTTCCCTGAGGTCTCCTACCAGTTGGGCCCGAAAAACAGGAGGCATCCTAGTTAGATGGAGTAGCACCTCAACTGCAATTTCCCTTGTGATGTCCAAGCTCCTCACCCCATCTCCAAGGCTGAGCCTGGTCACCCGGCAGAGGAAACTTCAGCCGCTCGTATCTGCAACCTTGTTCTTACTCCACGACCCAGTTTGCCCGATTTAATACGTTTTCATGATAAAATCTTATGAAGCACTAAGATTTAAAAAGGCCTGGTAATTGGTAACAATTACATTAATTCAATTAGGTGTCAAACATTTTACCGTAAGGAAAGACAATTTTCAATACTAAAACTTTTTCAATACTAGAACGTTTTCCTGTCATTGTTTAGAGATGATTATTGATTATTTTCCTTCCAAGATCCATAAAGTGACACATCAGCAAACTTACCAGAGAAGAATAAAGAGATCAGCAATAAATGTACTATTTTCTCCTCACACCATTTAAATGACACTCTCATACAATTTTATGAGGTGCAAGAGGAAGACAATATTTTTTGTTAAATAGACCACATTTCTGTAATTTAAACAATAGTTGCTGGCTGGGATTGAAAGCCATGGTAAAAGATAATATGTACACTATGCTGCTGCCTTGTTTCATATCTCCTGCATCGCAGCGTTGGCTGCTGAGAGTGTTTGAGATCGTGGCGACATTCTTCGGTTTGTGAATGAGACCACAGAGCGGCCACACAAAGTTCCTCGTCCCCGGCTCTCAACTCAACTCGCCCACTCGCATTGTCTCCAGACTTTAGTCAAGAATGCGGATTTCTATGGCCGACGGCAAGCCAGACAAAATTGCCAATTGCATTGTCCCCTCGTGCGGGTTTTTCTCCTCAACCATCTCTTTTGGCTGCAGAGTTCAGGAAGAACCCTCTCAACCAATGTTTCGGATGAAAGGGAAATTCGAGCTATAACACTGCATGACACTCCATCCTCTGATTGCTTTTTTTACAGTCCACAAAACAAAGTTGTGATGAAGGCAGGTTGCTTTCTTTGCTTCGGCATGGCAGGACCATTTCCCTCAATAGGCTGCGTTCAAACACAAGGCGCTCTGATGCCACGAGAGGAAGTGGCTTTGGCACAGAACGTCAAACCAGCGTTTAATGCAGGACACGATGGGTGGACGAGGCCCAGAGCGGCACACTGGCTTGTCGCCGTCTGTTCAGCGCCGGCAAAGTGTCCATCTCGTCGAGGCCTGTAGCTACAGGTCTTTGTGCCACCGTCGACGCAGCTCACAGGGATTGGGTTCCACAGCTCGCTCGCTCCTCTAAATGATCGGCTTGCCTCGCTTCAGCTTGATGGAGGACAGACACCAGCTCACCTGGACTCCCGCGGAGCCTGAGTTCATCAGCTGGTGCACCTGAAGAGCGCCGCCTTGACGGGGTCACCACCTGAAAGCAAACCAACACACGACAGGATATTGTTTTCCCACGTGGTTTCTGCACCAGCCCACTCAGTGGTTTCATGGAGGAATCGAGTGTTGAAAATGGCCCATGCGCATTTCACAGGGAGAAGTTCTCATTTCTGGTGCAGCTGAAGGGGGAAAGCTTCCCATCGAGCTCGCACCGACCTTGAAGGACAGATCTGCTTTCAAACTCACTAACGCCTTTTGGCATAGTTCATTCGCCTGCACGCTGTTACAGAAATGTCTTTTTGGGGTTGTTGAGAAGGGGGCCCGGGGCTAAATACACTGCCCCAAACACCAGGGGAGGAGAGGTAACTGTGATTCTACTGTAGATGTGTCTCTGGATATACCTGTATCGGATGAATCTCTGCGTGAATCTGCGCGCTCGCCGCGCCCGACTCGCATCCCCTTCTTTCGCAATACGGAGATGAGACAGAGGGAAGGGTACACGGTCGCTGGGATTTAAACCCAAACCAGCTGGGCGACGAGAGGCCCCGGTGCGTGAGACAGAGGCCCTGCTTTGTCAGATAGAAGGAGCGCACTCAACATCAGGATTTACTCAAGTAGAATCACACACCAAAGTTTACCCCCCCCTTTCTTGATGAGGGGTAAACTCCTCTTTGCACCTGAGGGCAACAAAGCCGACCTCTAGTGTCCTCAACAAACTATTTGGTCTGCTTTTTTTTTCTTCATTTCTTGTGAAACAACAACTAACTTAATTAATTAAATTCCCATTGCATGACAGTCATATGCTGCTTGATGTGCCGGCAGGACACAACCGACTGCTTGTGGTTTCTACTTAAGTATTCATTGTTTCATCCAATTAAGCACGAAGAGGATTAATGGAGTAATTCGGTAAAGTGAATTACGGGGGAAGAGGGAAGTTCTCGCATTAGCAACCGACTAAGCTACTCACCTGATCACTTCTCGGTCGTATGTTCGCGTGGAGCGCTCTTGTTCTCATGATGTCCAGGAGGCCATGCTGACACATTGGGATACCGGCTTGGACACGCTAATTCAAAGGATGTTCAAGGAGAGAATGCATTTCTCGTTGAAAAAAACGAGCTTGTTGAAGGGACATTATTGTTCTTTGAGTGCGTTACAAATCAAATTATTATTACTGTTCTGTGGCAAAGAACAACCAAAGGGACTACAATAACTGTATTCATGTGCAGATATCATACATTTTGGTCCACCACGTGCATCTTTGCTTTGTGTATAAAGACTTTATTTAAAAACCACACGAATATTAAAAAATGATTGAAGTTTATTGTCCAATATTCAAAATAGAATAAACTCAACCACCTGCAATAAATAGAAACTAAACATCTGTACAAATGACCTAATCATCTCAAACAAAATTGAGTACATTGAGTAATAGTATAAATACATTTTGCTTACTTGGTACTTTCTACTCAAGTGAAAACCTCAATGCAGTTTTATTCGTACTCATTTTGCCGGCTGACATCATTAACGTCCAATCAGCAGTGAAAACAAGAGTAGGAGCCATTATAACACATCTCGTTCTGCTAAGAATACCAAACCCCTGAACAAAACGTCCCGACGGGAAAACGGCGTCGTTTCGATGACGATGAATGTGTTGTATCGAGTCCGGTTCCTCCCTCATCGGTTCGCCGGCAGACGTGAAAGAGTTAAGTGTCCTCTCGGCTCCACGCAGCGGACTATGACATATTTGGAGGACAATTGGTTAAGTGGAGTTAACCGTTGCCTTTTTCTCCCCGAGGTATCTTCCTTTTTCATCCCGCCGAGCCTGGCGCCTCGCAAAACACAACTTGTCTGGCTTATTAAATAGTATGACCTGGAGAAAGAAAACGCCTGTTGCTTCTCGACTGAGGCCATTGTGAAGCGAGAGGAGCTCGTGACAGGCCTTAAATCGCTGTAATGCTGTGTGACCGACAGTCATTCCTGATCCACTTCTTTCCCGGTCGCGCACCTTTTTCTCATTTCATTCTCAGCTGAAACCTTTGTCTCGTTTTTTTCTTCTTCTCACAGTCATTTGATTAATATACATATCATCAAATTTAATTATGTGTGCCTATTTTATTTTAATCAGTTGATTAAATGTATTTGACTTTTTTCTTTTTCTCCTCCTTTTGATAAAAGCATTACTTTGATGTTGACGTGTTCCTCCCCAGCTTTACTGTATGAGAATAATCACGCGAAAAGTACCGATGCCCGGCTGGCTAATGGATTTAAATGGTCAAGAGAGATCCTCCCCACTGGTTAATTGCGCTAAAATTGGTCTAAGCTACTTTGTGAGGGCCATCAATGGCCCCGCACCCTATGGGGTCTGTATGATTAACTTCTCCTTCCTTTCAAAGGCCTCTTGATCTCCCCTCGCAGCGCAGCAGACCAATCACATCCTCACCCACGCACGTCACGGGGCCGAAGCGCCGAGCCGATTGGTCGGAACGGGGGGGGGGGGCGGGGACAGCCCTTGTCCTTTTACAGAAGACCCCGTGCAGTGCGTAAAAGGGCTACCGGGCCCCGCTGACAGCGCGGAGACGCATATTGGATACTGCGCACCTCGGCGATTCCACTCCTCCTAACGGGCCACACGGAGGTGCATGGCCCCATCTCCTCGCAACACGATGAATCCTGCGCAGGGGTCGCCGTCCAAACGGCTTCATCAGAAAGAGGAGACGGATACGGAGGGCGAGGATCTGCAGCCCAAAGACATGACCACTGACAAAGGATACAAACTCCAGCGGAGCAGCCTCCCGTTCAGCGTCGAGTCGTTGATTTCCAAGAAGACCACCTGTCGGACCACTTATTCCCCCCCAGATTTAGCCGCGGCCCTGCCGACGCCCGCGGCGGGGCAGAGCGTGCAGTTCTCCCCGAGGACCCTTTACGCGGAGAGCGCGGTCGCCGCGGAGAGCTCGCAGGGTGTTTGCAGTAGTTCCAGCGAGGACAGCCCGCAGTTTAGCGACAAAGATCAGAGCACTTGGTACAAGACGTCCTCCTTTTCTACTCCGCCTCGTAAGTTCGACCCTCTGCTGTTATTAGTATTTTTTTAATGTAGTTATATTGTATTGTCGATAGTCAGAGCTGCAAAGAAAAACATTATCTCAGTCATATAGCCCCTGCACCTCTACGCACTGCAAACATTCCCTTCTTGCATTTTACATTGTGTGGCGTCTCAAACTGCAGATAAATGATGGTGTTCCACCGCTAAGCAGGAGAAGCACTTCGGTGGTTCTTTGTCAGATTGGTTATTATTTCATTCTCATTTAATTCGCAATATATGTTTAATTAACTCACAGATGATATACACAAGCCAATTAATTGTATAGCGTGATCAGGCTTTAAACGGGACATTTGCGGGATCAGTTTGAGAGACATTTTTCCCCACATAAAACCTAACTATTGATATTTATTAATCTGCTGCTTGCGTTTACTTTTGACATGCTCACCTGGTTTTTCATGTTTAATTCAACCTTCCCTTAAAACGTGTTCTCCAACAGGGAGCTCAAGTCCCAATCAGTGCACTCTAAGGAAACACAAAAACAACAGGAAACCTCGCACGCCCTTCACTACCTCCCAGCTGCTGGCGCTGGAGCGCAAGTTTCGCCAGAAGCAGTACCTCTCCATCGCCGAGCGAGCCGAGTTCTCCAACTCGCTCAACCTGACGGAGACGCAGGTGAAAATATGGTTTCAGAACAGGAGAGCCAAGGCCAAGAGACTGCAGGAGGCAGAGCTGGAAAAGTATAAACTGGCCTCCAAACCCATGCTGCCCGCCTTCGCCCTGCCGCTCCCCCTCGGAGCGCACATGGGCTCTCCGGCATGGGGCCCGTCTAACGCCTTCCCGAGGCCCAGCCTGCCGGTCCCGGGACTGTTTGGCGGACCCGTCACTTATGGGATGTACTATTTGTCTTAGTAGTGCTGCGTGTGGATGTGGATGTTTTAAAAAAAAGGGAAAATAATGTCTTCTTTCACAGTCACAAAACACGCATAAACGGAATGATCCGTTCTTCACCTCAGACGCAGTTTTATATTATTGTACCAGTTTTGGGACATCGAGTATTATGATACATTTCGGTTCACATGCTGTCATGTAATTGTGTGTATAAACGGACAGGCACGAGTTCACTTCTCATTTTAGGACAGTTGTGTGAGTTGTGGATCCACAGGCCTAAATTACTGAGGAGATGCTCCACATTTAGATGTCAGGTTTTTAAGCAACATGTCTTAAATATCTCCTCAGTGCTTCCACCGTTCTCCGCAGTATGTGGAAGTGGACTTTCAAAGTGTGTCCAGACAGGAAGGCGTGATGCGAAGCAGAGTTTTGAAAGCAACAGAAAAGTACTTAAATGATGTCAGTGCCTTAAGACCAGTGTCACTTGAAGTATTTCTCCTCATTCAGAGTGTTTCTGGTAAAAACGGCAGTTTGCCAGAGTTGCTATTTGAATGTTTGTATTTTCTCACAACATCGCAATTTCAAAAATTTTGTACGGAGCAAAAATAATATTTTAGAAAAACACTTTTAGATATTTTTTTACTCTCACTGTGTGGCCTTATGGAAGGGAAAATATCATTTTCTTTGAGGAAATTTGCTGTAAATGTAAATAAAAGGTGTAGTGTTTATAAGCCGCCTCGCGGCAGCAGAAAGTTTGGTATTTATTGAATATCTTTGTATCTGTACTGTGTACATACATCACTCTATCCAAATGTTCAGTTACTTGTAAAAACTGATTTTAGTAAATAAACATTATACAAGATCTCAAAGTGGCTGACTCGTTGTACAACCTTTTTCACTGTTTTAAGATTTAATTTTTATCGTCAAGCGAGATGAATTCATGGGAGTTTATATCTACCAATTTTCCAACAAATGTGACTGAATCGAAGCACAGAGAAATTGATAAGCTAATGGTTTTTTAATAATGCAATTTCGAAAGAACCAATGCAAGCATGCAAACCTCAATTAATGTTGAAAACCACCAAAAAACGATCCCAAATTATTGTTCATTTAATCTAATTTAACAACAGGACAATTATTATCATTCCATTTGTATATATTTTGTTCAATAATGCATAATATATTTCTATTAGCTATATTATATTCATTGCAAACCTTGGAAATATATTGTCTGGGAGATCAAAATATGCAAGAAACGACATCATGTAACCCCCTGTTCTGTTCATGAAAAAAGGATTTGTAATTTTCTAATACAACTTTATGTCTTTGGCACTTTTCAATGAAGCATTTTTATACGAAATTACATTTCAATAATATACTAGGTAATTACATTCTCATTTCCCAAAGAAAATTCTTGGAAAAAACTCAATACGTACATCCTGTCTAAAACAGTTTTCATTAAGACAGCAAATGTAATTTTTATACTCCTCAAGGGGCCAATATTCAATATTCACCTGCTTGTAAGATAACCATGGTCCTTAATCATTTCCGATAACAACCTTCGACTTAGTTGACTGGAAAATATGTAATTATATACTTTTCTTTTCTCATATGTCGGTGTTCATAGCTAAATCTTTTTTAAACGGTGCAGCTGAATTAAACGTTTCTAGCCTGTTTGGTTCACTTATTGCAGCCAATTACACTGTCACCCTTTTAGTTATCATCTCTTTGTGAAAACTTAACTTGGGTTATATTATTAGGAGCATAAATGTTTCATTTTTCCCACACTCCTACAACAAAATATACTGTATCAACTTAATAGGCTAAATATAATCACAAGAACTTGACTTACATATATTTCAATGCTGTCCCCATTAAAGCGCCTAGGGGAAGATGTAAATGTGACCCTTTGGTTGGAGCTTTCGCTGTACTCTTCCTGTCCGGTGGAGGGCGGAAGCGGGCTCGCTGTTGCTGCTGTAGAAGAAGAAGAAGAAGAAGAAGAAGAAGAAGACGCACTTCCGCTAGTCTACCCGTCGCATATTACACTTTGTACAGCGAGGTGAGTACGTGAGCGGCGCGACTTTGCTGAATGACAAAACGTCAAATGAAAATTATTTTGAATAGCTGTTTGTGCACTTCATATATGTATTGTTGTGAGTGAGATTGAACAGTTGACCTGACGCTCACTCTGTGTTTTTGTAAAAAAACGGAGCAACTGAGAGACTTCACTGACCTTGTCTAGCTAGCTAATGGAGCTAGCTACCGCTAGCTAGCCTTGCAGCGGTCTTAAATGGAACAAAATGTCAGGGGCCTGTTGACATTGCTCGTCTATTGTCAAAACGCGTGTTCCACATCTCCTCTTTTCTATTAGTTATTAAACAAATGCACGACTATTTAACACCAGCTGTCGTCCATTTCTAATAAGGTTAGCTACTCAGGCCTGCTGTTAACTGAGGACAATAATGTCTGAGCTCTAACGTCACCGTAACCTGCGTTAATGCCACTAACAGAAAAGGTGTTTCATCTTAAGATGAATGTATCTTAAATCAAAAGTAAACCGTATTATGCAACGCCATCGCAGTACACATTGAATTGGAAGTGATGAAGTTTTTTGTGAGTCTACGCTGCACCTGGGTTTCATTTAATCAAATCACTAACTTAAATTTAAATCTTCAGCTTTTGTTAAATTGTATTTAAACGTTAGATTGTTAATTTTGCTTTATCGTCATTTTGCAAGCGTTTTTTTCCTCAATATTTAATAGCATATATATTTTTTTTATTTAACCGTGAAACACACATTGGAAATTAAATATGACAGGATTTATTGCCAAGCTGTTCTATTAAAGTATTACGGTGCGTGTTTGGAAAATATTGTTTTGTACACACACTTCTGTTTTCCAGCTGAATGTAGCCTAGATGTTTTTACAAAAAAAATATTTCCTTCTATCTGTCAGACAAGCAGGATGGCAGGCCGACGTGTAGCCCTGAAAGCCATCGACTGGCTGGCGTTTGCTGAGCGTGTCCCACCAAACCAGAGGAGCATGTTCAACGCGCTGAAGACCCGCAGTGATGCCATCTCTGCAAAGTTAGTTCCACACCAACAACCCACTTTAGAAATAATTCTGAAAGTGTGCTTGAGTCAAATAAATATGGTGCTGAAGGCACTTGGTTAGTGGTTCACGAAAGAATACAGCAGCAGTACAATCTAAAATAATAATCTATTTTCTGGCAAAAAAGCTAAATATTTATTTCCGACAAGTATTCTGAGCTCTTTCGCTGGGAAGATGATCATGTGTGAATATATAAGAGTGCACACTAGTACATATTTATTTAATTACAGTGTGCGTTTCTTTGTGCCTGCTAGTTCCTTTTCGTGGTAACAGTTCTTGGCAGTTTTCTTATATACTTGTTGCAAGTTGTTTGGTCAAGCTGATCAAGTGTTTAGCCCACAGAAGTGCCTGTACATACTATGAGACGTTTGAAGGGAAAACCTATAAGCTGCACAGCTAGAACACGTCTTTTTATTCTTCCTCGTCAGTAAATTGCATTTGGGTTATCAATTGGTCCCCTGGAAGAACTGTTCTAATACTACAGGATTTCTCTCTCTAGCTATTAAGTTTCAAACAGATTTTCTCATTATTTTATTTGACCTTTTTTATTCTGTGGTGTTGTTTTTAAGTTGTCTGTTAAACTCAGTCTTCTCCATTTATACCAGACTAACCTCGTTGCCAGAGGCTCCAGTAACCATCGACTGGAGCTTGTACAAGAGCAAAGTGGCAAAAGTCGGAATGGTTGACGAGTTTGAGAAGAAGGTAAATTTTACTTGACTGTATTATTCAACAGGTCACGAGCATTATTCAGCCTTTACCTGACAAGTGTGGGGGGGGGGAAATCTGTTCTGACACAACTTTCACTTTAGTTGTATTTGGATGATGTGTATAGTTTTGTCAAGTGACCCATATAATGTAAAATATCCCGAGATCCAAATTACTATCAATTTTTATGTGGAATATAATTCCAAATCTTAGGTTATCGCGGTTAAGCTGTTAATTTTAAACAGCTTTGAGGGTGACCGTGCAAGTTAATCATAACATTCAAACAACAGTTAAAATCTCCTTTTAGTTCCTCTGCAGAATCAGTTTAGCTGGTGGTGTGTATTGTGTGTTGTGTTGCATTGGTAAATGATAAATGTTCCTCCCTCACAGTTTAAAGCCCTGCAGATCCCCGAGCCTGTTGACACGCAGACGAGCGCCATTAATGCACAGGAGGCTGAAGCCGTAAGTGATGACGTCGAAACAAATCCATGTTTCCTGAATTTCAGCTTTACTCTACTGCTGTACTGTGTTGACTTCTAACTTCAAAATAATGCAGTCAAACTAAAATTTACATTTTATATGTATTTATACCAGAATTATAATTCAAAAATAAATTAACAGAATTTAGTCTATCGTAATTCATTCAACACTAACACAGGTATTTGTAATTAAAGCACACAAGCCACAACTGGAATTTTTCAAATAATAATTAGAAAATAACTAGCATTTGGGAATCTTTTGTATTGTTGGATGTAATAGTTTCACTTTTCTCGTTACGCTAACAGAATAAAAGTGCATCAGCCTACATCGAAGCTTCCAAGACCCGCATTGCTGAGTATGAGAAAAAGGTGAGACTAGTGGTTCTAGTAAACTATGTCCTTGACGTCTTTGGGAAAACCGTATTCATAAACAACTCGTTGTTGTGTCTCAGATGGATAAACTGAACAACATGGTCCCCTTCGACCAGATGACCATCGACGATCTCAACGACGTCTTCCCTGAGACTAAGTTGGACAAGGTCAAATACCCCTACTGGCCCCACAAGCCCATTGCGGACCTGTAATCCTTTTACCTGAAACTCACCTCATAATAAAGTTTATGTATTGTATAGCGAAATATTGTGATGGTTTTAATATTTTATATGTGATGAACAGTGTGTTTCTTTTAGTAATATCCAGTACTGCAGGTGCATCATGTTATTGTAGGTAGAGCCCACTAGGGGGCGATGTCGCAATAGTCTTACTCTGAAAGGGGAGCGTGTCTGTCAAACCAACAATAACATTCACCATGATGTTGTGTACTCTCCAATGAATATCAGTGGCACGAGGGAAACTTACTTCATTGGGCATTCACGGGAGACGTATCCTGATTCAACTGGCAGCAATTTTGAGGAACAGTACAAAACTGGTGTAACTGATGTAAGTGGGTGTATCGGTCTATTGTCATTAATAATGATAAACTTGCATATTTGTTTACATTCTAAATGTACGTCTCATACTCAATTAGGTGGAATTCCGGTTGAAACCCTGTACAATGTAATGCGCCATTCTAGTTTATTGCCATTAGTCGATAATCCTGAAACTATCCGATCATGGATCGGCTGGTTGTGTCCCTCAATAACCCTTGGGTTTCCACTGCTTATTCACACACACATTGGGAGGACATGGCCCATTCATTCCAGATCTGCATTGTGATTGGTCCATTTTTACAGCTTCTTAGCCGCTGATTGGCCAAAGTTCTGTCGTAAATCGACGAGGAGGGGCTTCAACGCAGGCTATTTCCGTTGTATGTTATTTGACAGTCGGTGACGATAGACTGAGAACACCAGCTCAGGTGAATGCCTTCTTTAATACCTTCTGTTTTGTTGCATGTCATGGCTACAGGTTGATCGCTTTTAGCTCACGGTTGAGTGACTTCCCGAGGCCTCTCATTTAAAGTCGGTCGGTAACGAGTAACCGTCGGTCGGTAACGAGTGACCGTCAAAACATGCTCCAATCCGTCCAGAGAGTCAAAAACGGCGGAGCTCCGTCTGGGGTCAACGACGCAAAACAAACTTGACGACAATCATTTTCGTTTCAACACCTAACGTCTGAGTGGTTTTTACCTCCGCGAGACCACCGTTTACCGACATTTGCCGGATCGGCTGCTAGCTCCGTTAGCCGCAGCGGTCGCGTTACGGATGAGCGTTCGTCAGTGAGCCAGCCAGGTCCCCTCGGTGCCGAATGGCGGCCAGACGGTGGACTCTGCTATTTCCAACCCAACGACGCCACCAAAGACCGGGAGCGAACCCACTAACGCTCGGCGTGGTATTCGCTCGTGCGCTGTCGTGCGAGTATAATAAACCCATCGGGCCCCGCTATGTCCTGACGTCATCCAGCCACGGCGTCCCGTGGACTCTGTGCGCGTGTTAGCTAGCTGAGCTAACGTCACGGCACTGCGTCAAAACACCCACTTAGCTGGGAGCGTCTCCTACACGGCGGACACGCCGGAGGTTTATTGAGAGGACACCCAGCTTTTGGGGTGTTCTGCCAGGCGGCCTCCCGCCGCGTCAATGTGTTTACAACTCGAGTGAGGGGTCAGTAAGGCAGCACCTCTGTCTGTGTGTGTGTGTGGGGGGGGCATTATGCAAAACTATTTTGGATGGAGGGAAATATGAGCTGCTCGTGCTCCTTGGTCACTACTTTACAGCCACTTGAGTGTTTGTTTCCTTATCATTCCGGGAGACGAGCTAAAGTGTAATAAACAGTTTCCTTGGCTTCTAGGGTCAAAGGTCAAAGCAGCACATCCCACCCAAAGACGCCGGTTTTCTTCTCCCACTGTGGAGTCATTGGGGGAACATGCCGCAGCAACTTTCCCACAGACGAGTTACTGCGAGTGTGCATCTCATTCCTGGTGGCCACGGACCAGGACGCGTCATTGGTCGGCCCAGGTCTTCCGCTGTGACGGTGGGGGTCAACACTAGTGTCCTTGTTCATAGAGAACAATGGGAATGTGCCTTGGTGGAGGGAGGCACTGCTAGGAGGCTGGAGGTTGGTTACCGTCTGGTCTCTGGAGGACAGCAGGCCCGTGCTCTTCTTACAGGGTTCTATCGCCACACACGATGGTGTGTGCACTCAAGGGAAAGGGGATGCGAGGCAGAGTGTAATGTGTAGTTTTTGGTAGAGGCTGCGGCTCAAGAGACAGAGGAAGACATTTTTTACAGCACTAGTGTCAAAATCCAGCTGCTTATCACGTCTTTTATTCTATTTTGAACAGGATTTTTTTTTAGAATTGAAAATCATGTCTGGCTACTTGCCCAAAGAGCAATATATGAAAAATCCAACTGCAGCCAGAACCTCCTGACATTGAGCTGGTGGTGATTTTCCCGCTCAGTAAGATAAGACATTTAGCTGGTCAGGTGACTGTGTCACACACGTACTCCAACCAATTGTCTTTTAACTTGCAGTTTCTGTCTAAAACCTTGTTATTGAATATATAATTGGTGTATTACTTTTTTTTTTTGGGAGGATTAGGTTTGCAAAACGTTATGTTAAAATGACTCCCATCTCTCACACGTTGACCATTCTCATGTGACAGTGCTTTGTGTCCCATGGAGAAGCGGCCTGTTTTGTGGTTTATTTGTGACTCTTAGAATTACTTCATGTAACACGACTCTGGAACCTCAAGCTTTCCCTGATTGAATTTCATCTATGCAGCGGTACAGCCTCCTCTCACAGCCACTGATGTCATGCATCAGACGAAAGATGCAGCTGATACCGTCTGGTGCCGTTACTTCATACGTAATACTTTGACATATCTGGTATCATAGGGTGTTGGACCTTTTTTATTAGTTAATGTAAGCACAAAAACGTTGTTATTAATAACAAATGTCAGGCTAGACCTGAAGCTATTAATCGCTTACTCTGTTAACAGAAGTGATTAAACATTTCAGTCTTATTTCAAGTAAAACAAAAACATTTTCTTCTGTCTTTTCAAATTATTTGCTACTTTGCTTTTGTCATTATAAAGTGATTTTCTTTGGCTGTTGGACTTCTGGTAAAATAAAACAAGACATCACCATGAGCTTGTTAGAAATGATTAAAAACATATTTTCCTATTGTTTAAAGACTAAATAATCAGTTTTGGCAACCAGTACAATCATTAAAGAACCTGGAGCTGTTCCCTGCATCCAATCTTTTGATATTTTTATGCTGCAAAAGATTGAATCATTTATCAAAATGTATTCAATTAAAGTGGAATATTGTTCTGTTTATCGATTTTTGGACATTAGTTGAAACCAATCATTTTCTGCTTGCTCTAATGGGGTTTCTCTTAGCAGCATTCAACTAGAGCAGAATAAATCGGAAACCGTTGCATCCATCTCCACATATCGCAATCAGTGTTTTTTTTTTGTCTTGATGCAGCAAAATTAACATGCATTCAAACATCCTTTAAGATAAATACCCCTAACCACAGGCCTGTTTGTAGGCCTGCATTCTGTGACTATGGTAATGACTCTTCTCTGACTGTCATGAAGTTTTGGCCTCCAGCCGTGAGACACGTTCTAGGGTTCCTCATGCTCCTGCTGTAGCCTGCTTTGTATTCCCTCAGCGAAGCCGCCGTCTGTTTTTGGCCGGCTGGTTTTCCCTCAAGCTTCCCTTTCTGCTGGAGTGGGACGTGGTTGGACCTCGGCGAGCTAAGCTAGAAAAGCCGTTTATTTGTCTGTAGATGGTGAACGAAGCTCGTTGTCCCGGCGGCAGCACATAGGCCTGTGTCAGCTGAACCGGTCCGCTCTGGCAGATGTGGGCAGGGAACTGGTCTGAAGCCGACCTGGATGAACTCTGGGAACTATTGCTTCCATTATTGTAGAAGCCTGGCGATCAGAGCGAACTGGTCGTACTGGGCTCCTCCCAGCAAATGTGCTGTGTTCTATGTTAAGAGGAGCAGGCCGGGCAGGTGCCGCGTTGCTGTATGTAGAAGTACCTGTTTCTATATAAGGTACGTGTTTAAATGAGCTGTTGGAGGAAGGAAAGGGAAACTTGGTTGTGCAAAACAAATGCAAAAAAAACTAAAACTCTAACACAACAGTAGCTGCAGGTACTCGAAGCGACAGACATTTCATCTTATTTCACAGCTAATCCATTAAGCTGTATGCTGACGAAAACGTCTTCATCATGACTGTGATCACTCGCATCTGAAAGTATACAGATTTACATGCTGACAAACGTAATTTTAAAAGAAGTTGTATTGAAAAATGTCCCTAAACATCAAATTTGATATTATGCTGCCTTAAATGTTCTCATTGTATCCCCGGTAGAAGTGGTACCAATTAATTGGGACAGTAAGAAGATGGAGGATGGATGGATAAAAAAAGGGGATGAAGTTACCATCTGTATACATTTTATCCAGATACGTGTGTGAGTGAGTGTGTGTGTGTGTGACAGACACAAAGCCTGTCCCAGTAGGGTGCAACAATTTGACCCCCCCCTTATTCTAGTACTCATTTAGAGGGATTTTAAGGAGAGATTAAACCAAATAATCATTTAAGAATAACAAGGGATCGTCTGCTCTGTAGCAAGCCTTTTGCTATCAGCTTCATTTTCATTTCATTTTTTTCCACTGGTTTTAAATAGTTTGGTGCAATTTGATGTTTGTTCATTTGCATGTTTTTTCATTATTACAAAAACAAATTTTCTTAATTCGTGGACACACTTTGCTGCTGATGTAATTCTGGAGTCTGCAGTTAATTATCAAAAAGAAGCCATAGTATCCAAACGTACGACAGCAGCCTCAAAGAAACTCTACTGAGTCCTGAGGAGTGAGCGGATGTTTCAATTTCTCTTGTTTCTGTGACCGAAGGCACGTTTTCCCCTCGGATCAACCATTGTGTAGACATTCAACCACTCTGCGGTGCTTTTTCTACTGTGATACTTCTAAATGTCTTTCATGAAAGAGACATGTATGCTTGTGTGTCTTTGTTTTCAGTGGCCGTTGATGGACCATACCTATGAAGAAACAGGGTTACAATGGGACAGAGTACCTCGGAACAAGAGGTCCAAGGGGACGTCACCAGCGAGGTCGGTTTGCTAGATGATAAAACACGTGACTATAGCGGTCTTACATGTAGTTGCATGGTTACATGTTTAGTGGCCGTTTCACTGCCCAAACTGGCCAGCTAGCAGAACATAAGACAGAAACAGCAAACGGCCTCATTGGCATCAAACTCAACACGACCTTCAGCACAGTTTTTGGCCGGGTGAATGTAGCTTTTAAAACTTCTTTCCCAGTGGAATTTGAGAGTTCAAACGGCCTCAATCGCAGGTGTGTTCTCACATTTTAGCTGCCATCTCCTCATCATGGAGGATTTTGAGCCACCATTTGAATTTGGGTTGTTTGCATCGCCACGCTCTTATAGCTTACAGTCAACTCTTTAGTTTAGTTTATTGCACCGAGGCTGATCATTTTGACCAGAGCCCTCACCTTTTAGACTTCATATTTGCTCCCACATGCTGACTCTCCACACTAATCCAAAGAGCCTACTTGAAATACATTTCTGCGTGCACATCCGTCCCGAAGCACTCGCCCATCTTACAGCCCAGCCGCCCACATCCCCAGTGTCCTGCTTTGGCCTTTTACTGCAAACTAACCATCAGCTCACTAATGACACATCAGTGATCAGTGATAACGGACATGCAGTCTCTTTTGCTGAAAAAGGCCAGAGCACAAAAAACATAATACTGTTGCTCTCATAATGCTTTATCTGATCGTGAGGTAGCCAAACACATGTGCACACACACACACACGCAAGCCAAAATGAAAAAAACAACTCGGCTACTTTCTTTCTACAATATTTTTTCTTATCTTTAAAAGGTAATGCACATAATTAGAAAAAACAACACAAGGAGAATCCTCTTTCAGTACATAGGGAGCAGAGTGAGGAAGCTGTGCGCGGAGCTCATTGTTTTTAGTGAAAAGTTGGAGAAGGTCGGGTACGAACATTCATATCTTTCTCTTTTTTGTTTACTAAATTCCCCACGCACTGATCGTCAGACATTCCTAATCCCTTATTTACACATGCAATCACACTTGAATGGAAATTAAACCATCAGGCCGACATGTTGCTTCAGGCTCAACACGCTGCAGGTGGTGGCAAGCAACTAGCACTCTTCCTGTAGAGGTTCTGATCGTTTCTTTGGATTAAGAATTTCTGTTTCTTTCCACTTAAATTAGGACGGTTTTGATAACATCAAGACACTCGTGGAGGAGGAACTACAGACGAGCATGGTGAGGGCAGGAAATTGCGTTGCTACCATGACGTTCACGTTACATCATGCAAAGATACTTTTAACGCAGACATTTTATGATCATGGCAACTTTAGGCCTTGAACAAAACGCAAATCAACCCGACTTTTCTTTATCTGTTCAGATGGTGGGGATGGTGATCGGTGCAGGCATCGCCATAGTCCTCATTGCCATCCTCATCTTCTTCATCTTGCGGAGGATCCAGCTTCGAAGTGAGTAACTGCTGAGAACCTGCACTGAGAGCACGCAACGATGAGCTGTGAAAAAGTGTGAACTCGTATGTATTTTTATGGTAATTTGTCTTTTTTTTGTATCTTAGACCTAGAAGCTCTGGAAGCCCCCAAATACCGCTTCCGCAAGAGGGACAAAGTCATGTTCTACGGGAGAAAGATCATGCGCAAAGTGAGTTTTGTAAATACCTGTTTGATCACAGTGAATCACATGTCATCGCTCTCGTTTTTTTGTCTACTGCCATCACAAGAATCCCCTTTTCAAACCAATATGTTTTTAACAGGTCTCGCAGTCTACCTCTTCCCTGGTGGGTACATCCTCTTCGTCCCGGCAGCGCCTGAAGAAGAAGCAGAAGATGCTTAACATTGCCAAAAAGTACATCACAAATGTCAATGCTCACCAACAGTAGAGCTTCCACTACTGCCGCGGCCAATTCACTGGTTCACACAGACTTACCCCGTCTATTCCCACTGTGAAGGATCCTGCGCTTTAAGAAGGAGGTGCCCATCCTACAGGCCAAGGAGCCCCCTCCCTCGGTGCTGGAGGCTGACCTCACCGCGTTTGATGTGGCCAACTCCCACCTCCCCTCTGAGGTGCTCTACATGCTCAAAAATGTCCGGTAGGTTTGTCGTCTTCCTCTTTGTTATTTGGGAGTCTTCTAAAGTTGATCTGCATGGTTGCTGCTGTAATTGGACGTGAGCCTAATGCCTTTGAGATGTTTTGTCCTGTTGTGCAGCAGTTGCCTGGTAAACCTTGCTCATAAAGCTCCGTTAGTAGCATTCCTTGCAACTTAACATAGATTATGAACAGAATACAAACTTTTCAGCCTTGTGTTCACACCTGTGTATGTGTGTGTCTCCTAACTCCTAACCCTTCTGTTGTCCCTCACGGCAGTGTGCTGGGTCACTTTGAGAAGCCCCTCTTCCTGGAGCTGTGTAAACACATGGTGTCCGTGCAGTTCCAACAAGGGGAGTACGTCTTCAAGCCGGGCCAGCCCGACAGCAGCATCTACGTGGTTCAGGGTGGAAAACTAGAATTGTGCCTTACTGGATCGGTACGCAAGCTTATGTATGCATGATCACATGTGAATTTCATGCGCGTTGTTGTTGTTTTTATGTTTGCGCATTACATTTTCTACTGTGCAAAATCTTATCTAGCCCTGGGACTTAACAGCACATAAGCAGCTATTAACATTTGACTCTGCAAACTTGGCTCTCTTAGTAACAAAAAACAACTAACTTTAACACAAGTTGCCTGGTATGTCTTTATTCCTGTCACTCAGGATGGCAAAGAAAGTGTTGTGAAGGAGGTTTACCCCGGAGACAGTGTCCACAGCCTCCTCAGCATCCTGGATGTCATCACAGTAGGTCTCGCCCCTTTTCTTGCAACACACACACAAACAAACCTGCTCCACTGGCATTTATGTGACTGATACATGGATTTGTAGTTCTAATTCAGTGGAGATCCTGTATTGAATTGGATGGAACCAATGCCCATCTAAAGTGAAGGGTTAATGCGTCAAATAACGATAACATGAAGATTTTTGTCTTTTTATTGGACTATAACATGTGCACATGAAACCGACTAGAAAAGGCAACACCTCCCATCACAGCGTCTTATGATGTGAACATTTTTTGCAGTATTCATTGGGGTATTTGTGTGCAGGGCCACCAGAAGCCTTACAGAACTGTGTCGGCTCGGGCTGCGGAGGTTTCCACTGTTCTCCGTTTACCGGTAGAGGCTTTCCTCGCTATATTTGAGAAGTACCCTGAGAGCCTGGTGCGGGTGGTGCAAGTGAGTTGTCTAGTTCTCGATTTTCTTTTTTTGTTGTGTCTTCCTCTTCTGTTCTCCTCTACTGCAGGTCAGAAATATTTGCACCCATAAAACTGAATTGGTTTTGATGATCAGTTTGTATGTACTGGAAACGATTCACTTTCCGTCTCCTCTGTTCAGATCATCATGGTTCGTCTCCAAAGAGTCACCGTCTTAGCCCTGCACAACTATCTGGGTCTCACTAATGAGCTCTTCAGCCATGTGAGTTTAACACGCACACATGCATGGATACACACACACACACACACGGCAACCACGGTGCACCAGACAGTTATGCAAACATCTGTTGCTGATGTGGTTTGGCATTTATCAACAATTCTTCATCATTAGCATTTAGCACATGATGTTCCTGTTGTGACTTGAGTTGCTAGACGCTAATGTTGCGTCTATGTTTCCTTTCTTGACCTCTCACACATCATCTGGTACCGTTGTCCTGTAGGAAATGCAGCCCTCGCGTCTGCCACCTCCGTCTCCTCACCCGATTCGCACCAGTCCCATCCGGCATGGTAAGCGCTTTGGCAGCCTGACCGTAACTGAGGAGCATCGGGAAGCCGCCATTCGGGGTGAAGCTGCAGGTGGGGAGAGAAAAAAGAAACTAGAATTACTGATTTATTGGATTCTATAAAAGCTTCAATGTATAAATGATGTTTGGTTTCTTATATAATTCGTCACCTGTGGTTTCCTGTGTGAACAGGAGGGGAACAAGCGAAGGATGGAACAACCGTGCCAACTCTTAGCCGGACCATCTCGATGCCTGTGGACATTGCTGGTGAGGGACGGAGAATGTTTTTTAGCGTTCTTTAGACAGGATATGTCTTAACTGTATCATGTGCTATTTTGAGAAAGTACTTCTGTCAAAATATTGCGAAGATGCCAGAGGAAAGAGGTCAGAGTGAAATTTTAAAAGCACCACAAAAGGTTCAGCACCATCCGCTCACTTCCTGCTGGTGTCATTCTTATCTACAATATATTCATACAGGTTAGTGCACGTCTAAGTGCTTCACAGATGACTGGCAAGCTGAAATGAGACAAAACAAGGTCGGACCTTGAAAACAACAGAAAAGACCAAAACAATCCAGCAACTTTACAGTTTGAGACCAACAAGAAAATATAAAGTTTGTATTCTAAAGATACTTTAAAGCTATAACAACAGTAAAACATGGTCAGACAAAACATAATTGATGAAATAGCTGGTTGGTTGATGTTAATCCTCTGTACCCCCCGGTAGTCTCACCGCGGTCCATCATGCTAAGCTTGGCTAAAGTATCTTTTGGGATTTGATTTTTTTTTTTACATTATATTTAGCTGACGCTTTTATCCAAAGCGACTTACAATAAGTGCATTCCACCATTAGGATACAAACTCAGAGGAGCAAGAAACAAAAGTGGAATTTTATCAAATAAGCCAATTTACAATTTGCTATAGATGAGTGGCGATATAAGTACAATTTAGGTGCTACAATTTGTTAGTCTTTTAGTCGAGGTAGAGTCTGAAGAGGTGTGTCTTTAGTTTGCGGCGGAAGATGTGAAGGCTCTCTGCGGTCCTGATGTCATCAGAGGGCTCGTTCCACCATTTCGAAGCAAGGACAGCAATGAGTCGAGATCTAGTCGAGTGTTTTGCTCTCAGTGAGGGAGGGACGAGTAGTTTTGCAGATGCAGAGCGGAGAGTGCGGGTCGGGGTGTCGGGTTTGACCATGTCCTGAATGTAAGCTGGACCCGATCCATTCACAGCATGGTACGTGAGCACCAATGTTTTGAAGTGGATGCGGGCAGCCACCGGTAGCCAGTGAAGAGACCGGAGGAGTGGAGTAGTGTGGGAACCTGTTTTGAACCTGTCTGCATCAGATCTGATCTTTCCCCATCTGCACCCAAAAGCAAAACCGTCTGATAGTAAAAATTGCTTTAGAGCATTTTAAATTGATAAACTTTGGTTCCTGTTTTTAATACCTTGCGCGTCCCTACCAAAATTCTGGCACACACAGCTCACTTTTGGAATTTTGGACCTGGGACTTTTTGGCTCCGTCATTGTAACTATTGTGCTACCAAGGACTTTTTTTTATTTGAATAGTTTTATATTCCTCCTTAGTGTATAGTAGATGGAAATCTGTGTATCAAAAAAATATACATATTATTGTCGAAGACTGAATCTCTACTTTTGTCTGCACAGGTATACAGAAAAGCCTGAGATCGGACTTTGACATGGCATACGAAAGGGGGCGGATATCTGTGTCTGCAGAGGAGGGCAACACCCCTCCTTCGTTTACTCGGGTCAGTGCACGGCGGACTCTCGAGACACAAGTGAGATAAGGTTCACTTAATCTTTCTCCCGACATAGAAAATCGCAGCAGAAGCTACGGTGGTCTTTCAGAACAACAACTATAAGTATTCTAGTATATTTTAAGTGCTGCAAATATTTAACATGCCTCTCAGAGGCTCCTAAAATGTTTTCTTCCTTGAGCAGTTTACAAGAAATGCTCTCCTGTGTGCTATGAGAATATTTGTGTTGCTCGAAACATGAACATGTAAGCGTAAATAAATCTGTCCAAGCCAAACCTATGATATGATATCCGACACTCTCCTGACTTTAAGCATAATTGCTTAAATCACGTCGTGGATCTCATTGTTTTTTTTCGAGGCAGATTTCCTACGTTGCATCAGTTTGGACTCATCAAGGATATTCTTGTGCTCGTGTGATTCCAGTCTGCGTCCCAGGACCAGAGGGAGAGGAAGGTGACTGTAGATGAGGTTCCCTCAGGGATCTTTCTGTACCCAGAGGAAGAGTCGGGAGTGGACAATATGTTTACACCTGTATCCAGTCGCTCCAATGCTGCTTTGTTTGAGGAAGCTCAGAAAGAGATTCTTAAACTGATGAAGATTGAGGTTTGTTTACTTGATTTGCTTACTGATAATGTGTCTACGTGTTATTATGTAGTGGTATCACATGGCACTCACGTTGAATTCCACAGGCACTATGGAAAAGAAAAGCAGGCGAATATTCTTCATACGCTATTTTATCAGAATATTTTCCATTTCATCAAAAGCATAACTGCATCTGGATGCTCCTCAGAAGCAAACCTTAACCTTCCAAGGGCTGTATCCATATAGTGTATTTTTCTGCTAGAAAAGTATCTGCAGGTGATCAGTGACATCTGTCTATACAGGACGCAACACAATCAATACAA